CTTGCAAGTTTTGATCAGGAAGAAGAAATCGCTTCTCGATTCGTTTTTGGGAATTGAATTGATTCTTTACGAACGACGATGGCTTTGGAAGCATTGAATCAGGTCTACTATGCCCTCGCCACTAAACCCGAGCAGGTACTGTATCTGTTTTTAACTAAACCCTAAATTGTTTCCCCAATCTATATCGATTTAGGTTTCAAAACTGTTTCTTTGTTCGATTAGATTTAACGGATAAGCCTTTCGAGAATTGATGGATTGTTGAAATTTGGGCAAAACGCTTAAGATTGAGAATGTGAATTAAATTGTTGAAATTTGGGCAAAAGGCTTAATTTTTCGAGAAACCCATTTGTTTCCTTCTTGTTTGTTGTAGGAGAAGATCACGCATGAAGAGGCTAGTGCCCTTCTCTCGTGCCATTTCAAAGTTTTGGGGACTGCTGGGTTGGCTTCCGGTGTTGGAGGAGGTTTAGGTTGGCAAGGTTCGTATTCCTTATTGAACTACTGATTCATTGATTGGCTCATTCGAAGTTTTTAAGTTAGATCCTTCAAATTGTGATGATTCTCTTGTAGTGGCAAAAAGGTTGAAAATGCTGACAGGACTTGGGAGGTTCGCAATTGCTGTTGGTATGTATTTTGCAAATCTTTAATGTTTTATCACTGAGTTTTTCAAACTTGGTTACATGTTTCAYCATCACTTATTTTGTTAATGTTTGTTTCTCCATTCAACCCCACGCGCAGGAGTGGCTACTGTGAGTTTTTCTGTTGCTTTTGATTGGTCAGCTTCTACAACTGCAGTTTCTTGCCTTGATCATATCCTTAGGCAAGATGGAACACGGTTGCAGAGAGAGCTCGTTAATGTGTAAGCATATCTGTGAGAGCTCACGCTTGTCAACCTTTTCATTATATAATGCAGTAGTATCGTTCTTAGCTTGATTCTTTTATTCTTGATTTGGCGGACTTTTTTTTTTTCAAACCTACAGCTTAGTAAGGTCCAATAAAGGTGAAGCTTGGAGATGGCAACTTATGTCCAAGAATTTCTACCCTGAATCTGTTTACGGTGATGAAGGAGACAAACCTCATATGCGTTGGCGTAGACGAACCACGTTCACAGAAATTGCCGCTTCTTATGATGATGTAAATGAAGCCAAACCTCAGAGAAACCCCAATGGCTTACCAAACCCTCATAATCGAAGCATTTCCCGTGGATCTGATGTTTCAAAGACTAAACCAATGCTCCAAAATAGCTCTGTGACTGTGAGTATTTTATTAGTCTTAATTTTAAAGCCTCTGCAAATGCTTAGCATCAGTTTGGACAAGAACCGGTTTCCAATGTTATAATTTAAATCTTTGTTTCAGGGAAATTCGGATGGCGAAATTGTGGAAGGAGATGCTCTTGACATTGTATTTGGTGGTTCAGAACCAACAGAGAGCATTCCTGCACCGCCAGTTCATTCGAAGGGTACAGCCAAAACGCAAACTCGCAAACAGAAGAGAGCAAAACGAAGACAGAGAATTAAAAACCGTGAAGCTTCCAGTTATACTCCTCAGTACGAACTTGCGTAGACAAGACAACAAGAATGATTGTTCTACTTTATGATTATCACGAAGAATCTGTCTGAGTTTCTGTAAGCACATTATGTTATACAGTATATGGTTGAGTTTCAAGTCCAAATTGTTACTTTGATTCCCATTTTATGAAGGATAATTCTGTAAGACTATTGTTATCAAAGCTTTTAAGTTCTTCGTGGTACCTCTATGAGCTGTATAATAAGCAAGATGATTATGAATTATGGTCAGTCAAAACTTGGATACACGAAGAAGAATTTAAACGAACTTAGCAGACAAATGTCATAACGAATGTACAATTGTGATTGTTGCTGTGGTTATTTGATCTTACTCCTCGATTCTTAGATGAAAGTACTCTTCAAGAATTCCTCTAGGCGTCCTACCAAATCCCTTAGCCACTTCTTCCATTTCCTTAAGCTTTGCGACTTCTTTTCTTATCTGATCCAATCTCTTCAACACGTTAGTCATCAAGCTATCTGCATCTGTACCTGATACACGCCTCGATAGCTCTGACTTCTCCTTCTCAAGTTGCCTATACAGATCATCAAGACATTCTTTCTGAGCATTAAGTTTGCCTTCTGCAATTTGGTACTCAGATTCCTGAGCATTTCTCAGCGCTTTTAGAGCCTCACGGATATCTTCCTCAAATTTGTGCATGTCAGCCTCATAATTGAATGGCATGGGACTGATTGGTGTCACGTCTTGTAGACTTTGCAATGTATCATTGTCTTTAGCTTCTCCACAGTCAGATAAATCTACAACCAAAACGCCACTGTCAGGGAAATCTACAACCAAAACGAAGATGATGTGTTAGAATGAACAGTGTTAACCCATCTTCAACACATAATCACAAAGCAAAAGATCATGATTAGGGAAACTACCTGACCATATAGTTGGCGTATCATCATTCCAAAGATTTTCCAAGCTCGTGCCACATTTAAGCTGCAATAAGTTTGGCTTTTTAGTTTCAGAAAAATCCAGTAACCACTAAATTTTACACCGTGTATTTGTACCTTGATGAGTGTTGATTCAATACAATTCAGCAATTCCTTAGCATTGTCTCTTTGTGAGCCTCGAAGGATACAAATACCAAGATTCAAGATCTTCTCCACATCACCTTGATATTCTACAGTCTGACATATTTCCAGGAACCTGTTAACATGTGGAACTAAGTCCTTTTTAGCGTCACATCGCCTGCAGTAGTATTCAGCATCCAACCCAATGCTGCCTCCAATGGTTCCAGCCATGTAAGCTCGAAGAGCACAGTTCACATGAGCAACATGTCCACATATATGACCCTCGGAAACCACGGCTTCACATTTGATATAGCTATAACCTTCATGCTCTAAGCTTATTGATTTGCAGCAAAGGATGCAACAGCAATCAGAGCAGAAATTAGATTCACTACAGCAAATGTCACAAGGCATTGAAGGTAAACGTTCAATTTCAGTCGGTGGCATCAGGCTCCCGCATTTGTCATTACCAGCCTTACAAACCACAATATCAGATCCGTTCTCATGCATTTGCTCTTCATCTGAGCTATACACTGGCAATATGCACTGTTTCTGAACCTGACCATCTGTGCTGGGTATAGTCCAGCTGAAAGAAGCAAAGAACTTGCGAACATCTGCTTTAGGGAAAGTAAGACGAATGTAACGTTCAAGCGATGACCTGCTCCTAAACGCGTTACTTTTCCTCGATAGTTCAGTAGATAAACCTGGAAGATGCTTAGGAGGATATAAATACCTATCCACAAAGGTGCCTTTACCGGTTATTCTAGGTCCTACTTTCCAACGCCAAGTATCACCAGGGCTAGGCCAATTTTCAGGAGCATAAGGTAAACCTAAACCAGATTCCAATGGCCTTACTGGCCTCAGCAGAAGGCGAGGAGATTCACTTCTGTTACTTTGACCAGGAGTATCAATGTCCATAGAGTCCATTATATATAAGACCTGCACTCAAATCACAAAGACCATTAGAAAACTTAACTGAGAATCAAATGCAACACAGACTCATATATTATCTACCATATCACACTACTTGATATAGCTCACAATCTCAATACTGAACTATTGAAACTCAATACATTTCGATTTTTGAAAATCCAAATCCAAACGCAAGCAGACATTTCCGAGTTTGGATTTCTCAGTTAAGTAGAAACTGGACATCGCCGACACCAAAATCGATTATTCTCGACGAGGAATTGACTAAAAAGGAAGAGAGAACGTACAATCTTCAGAGATTTCTTCGACACCGATCAATTTTCCGAAGATCTCAACGATGGTTAACTCTTTCTTCCTCCATGAAACCTCGAGCTTTTTTTACACGACTGTGGTTGAAGCTTAAGGCCGTCGCACTGAAGAGGATGAACGACGGCAACAAAATCAGACCTCGGAGGAAGCGAAGTAAATAGGGTTTGAGCTAAGAACAGAGATTGAATCAATTTTTTTCTTTCGTTTTATAAATCAGAATTCATATTCCAAATTCTTGGGCCGTTCCTGGACCCGGATTTGTTGCCTTTCCAGATCGGGTGAGTCTTTCGGGTATGGTTAACCCGAACATTCATCCGTCGGTTTTAGTAGATTTCTGTTCATGATGGTTGTTTTGCATATCGCGGACTTGTTTCTCGCAAACTAGTTATGCGGTTTTAGCATTTTTCCCGTTCAAATTTTAAAGGATGAAAGTGGAACTTGATTACTCAAAATGCTTAAACATGTTTAAATACATGTAAATGAGAGATCTCAAACACTAATCATCAATCATTATACAACATCTTTAAAATAGACGGTAATTAAACAGTAGAAATTAAATCGATCTAAGAGTGAAAATTTGTTATTTTACGTTTTCGTCTAGATGTGTGATTCATATTTGATCTTCTTTATTTTTGGTTAATCTATATAAAAAGATTTTAGTATATAAATAAACAGAAGATATTTTCATTTATACATGTGCATTTCAATTAAGCTATACAACAAACACAATGACATATAAACCGATCATTTTCAATCAAAATAACACAATTGGACCCTAACCAGCTAGCTTGCTTCACAGGGATTGGTGTGGGTCCATTACAAAATTGTTACATTGCAATCAGGCACTATTTAGAGAGAGCTTGAAAACGATCTTGAGTCGGACTTTGTCTTATGACAAGACCTGCAATGGAGTTTTATGTGAGTCTGATGTTCACACTCGACAAGTTTTACAAGTTCAAGAATCATGTGATGTGAATCTTCATGTCTCCCATTAATAGAGCTTTTGTCGATAAGTTTTGGCATGTCCCTACAATAGCAACAACACCAAGTGATGGAGATAGAAAACAACCACCCATTCGCATTTTTGTGAGATTCCTCTTGTGATAAAATCCAATAAAACTATATGATAGAATTCAAAATAATACAAAAATAGAAATCGATCCCAAAGTACCTTCCAAAGATAATGACTAAATTGTGGGGCTAAAAGTTGTTGTACACTCTATCTGACACCTTGATACCATTTTTTATTTAGACATGAAGCAATGATAAGGTTATAAAGGCCTTTCGTATTACAAACATTTATACTTACCATATTCTTATCGATCTAGCTTGAAGTATATATAGACCAATATTCATCATGGGTAATGTTATGTGACATGTCACTCATCAGTCACTACTTTTGGCGGGTTTCTCATCGATAGAGATTGACCAAATCTGAGTATCATTGTTGATTACATAAAGTAGCCATTCATAGATTTCTCAACCAATTATGCGTGACCTATTATTTTCTATTTTTCTTACTTGTAAGGCTTGTAACCTAGTGATTCAAACCCGGAAATGCGTGAGTTGTAGACGATAAACTTATGTCAAACAATCTATTCGGACCACTTAATCATAAATTTGTTGCTAGAAAAAAAAACAAGTTTTAACGGTCTAGAGAAGAGGAAAGAACAAAGATTAGTTAAGATGAGAAATGAGAAGTGGAGTGAGTCAGAGTACTTTGCACAAAACATGGATCTATCGTCTCTGAGTCATGAGATTGCTACTTTAGGTAGTCCAAGACATTGCCTACTCGTGAGCTCAACCTGTATTTGCAAGGACAATGATTCTTCTTTTAATATTTTTATTGGGTATATATAATTATTTTCTTGAGTTATTAAATAAAACGAAGTAAATTACATCCACGAAAAAAATTATAGGTTTAATATAGCTTACGCAGATTTTTGTCATTATATTTAGAAAAGTTGAAATATAAAAAAGATAAATAGTACACTATTTTGGATTCTATTTTTTTCCCTGAAGTTTGGATTCTACTATTAAAGTATGTACACACACACTTTTTCACATTATCGAACTTCATTATATACTTTTCCAAAATATCTATAGAAGGAAAGAAATCATTTCTATACTGAAATGATTATATACACACTATTTTCTCAAAAATATCAAAATTGGTAACTCAAAAAAATCTTGAACAAACAAACAAAAAAATGGTAATAAAAGATTAGAGTTGACTGAATTATTTTTTCAAACTGATTAATTTACACTATTTACTAGATTTGAGTGTATTTAATCATGAAATCATTTTCCTAACATTATGTAAATTTGTTGATCATCCAAAAATAACGACGCATAATAGTAAATATAAATACATACAATCAAACATATTTAAGCCACCTAGCTAATCGATCCACTTGCTCAATATATACATATC